CTGACTTCGTCATTGGATGTGTGTGTCATCAAGATGTAGCTCGAGTGTAAAAGTGAGTTTATCAGGTCGTTATAATTTCTTTCGACAATTTAAAAGTGGTAAATGAATGATGAAGATGTGAGTCCTGCAAATTAAAAGATGATTTGACCAAATTATTTTTTGATCAACTGTAAACACATAAAAACAATAAACCAATCCAAGAGTGGAGCCAACGCGCGGTGAGCAAGAGCGGCCACTAGTGAAATGCTCCACAGAAAAAAATGAGTATATACATTGGGAGGCCATCGAGTGGTTGCACACAGGTGAGAGATTTGAACTCATGGCAAATCACTCGTCGGCTGCTCGAGCAATGGGCAAGAGGTTTGCCCCTGGGATTGCGGTCGTTGGCTGTCAATGATTGACAATCAACGACGACCTATTTCACGTAAATTTCTTGAATCCGCCATCCAATAATAGGCTTAATCAATTTATTATTGAAGAAAAAATAATTGAATGGAATGTGTTAGTGCATCATCTTCATTACAGTTGACAATACGATAATTATTAATATTTTTTGTTGAATTTTTTCGATTACATTCTATGACGAATTGTAATTATTTAGAAAAATAGAGTACAAACTACAATCTGATCTGAGTACAAGACATCAGAGCACCACACCTTACAATTCTAATTTCGTGGTTGTTGACTATGGGATGGATTATAGATTAGTTTTCGGTTAATTCTACTTTTCTTGATGAGAACCCGATTAAATCTATTTTTCTTGATGAGAACCAAGAAAAATACCGGTAAAAAAACATTTTTGTATTATAAATATTTTGATTTATTTATTGTAACGTATAAAATATGGAATTTATATTTATTACTAAGTACTTAAACACGGGCTCGTATTAAGATTTATAAATGCATATATTATTATGTAGTTTCTCGTTTCATGAATTACTATTAACTAATGAGATTTTTTATATTTTAAAACACGTACTGAAAGTTGTTGGAATTTATGGGTTTGTTGATTTTAATGTGTGTGAATCGAAAAAAATCTCAAATAGGTGCACCGATTAAATCTAACTATTCAAGTGCAAAATGTGGATAATAAAAAGTCATGACCTTTGATAGGGTGCGATCTAGACCATGAATCATGAAATGGTGCTATCAATGTTAAAATTAATTTGTGCCAAAAGATGTGACCATTCGAAGAGATATATGAAATTCCACACTCCTAATTCCATATTTCACACTTCAAATCAAGTTCATATAATTAATTTCTATTTTTCTTTTCCCAAATTATGTCAAAATAATTTTCAAATTATTTTTGAGTTTCATGTTCGATATTTTGTACTCGATATCTTCTATTCTTGAATAGTATAGTCAAACGTTGATTCACCCAAAAAATTAATATTATGTTATATTAATTTTGAAAGAAGTGTTGTATCATGCAAGACATAGGTTTATATGATCCTGTTGCACAAGTGTAGGGGACGAAATTTATCTTAAGAAAATTTACGTTCACATACATCACGTCATTTTTTCTTCCAATTTTTATATTTCAGTAAGTAGATATTTTGTACGCATTTTAGTTTCAATAAGTCAAAATTCAATTCTATATTTTGCATGTGTAAGCCATAATTTCATCGTCTTTATATGCACGTATTTTTGGCTAATGTAATTAATTAATGCAACAATTTATCCAACAAAAGTTTAGTTAACATTTTGTAGTTAAAAATTATTAAAGGTACGTTTGATTGCAAACATGAAATTTGTTTGGAAAGAAAACAAATTCTAGATAATTCAATTATCTAGAACTTATTTGCTTGAAAATTATCAATTAAATGTATTTGATTGATTTATTTTTTAACCTAAAAAATATTATACTTGCTCATTTTTTATTGGGGGTAGATGGGAGAGAAAAAGAGAGTAAATTCCCTAAAAAATAAAATCATACTTCTAAAGAAAATATTTTCCTTAATTTTAAAGAAAATATGGTCATTGGTCATGTGACTAAAAGTTGGAAAATGTTTTTCATGGCAAAAATGTTAATCAAACAATATAGAAGTAGGAATTTGGATTAAAAAAAAATACATTTTTCATAGAAAATATTGACAATCAAAGGTACCCTTATTGTTTTTCAGCCTTTTGCCCATAGTCTACAAGAACTTAGTCGGTTTCGAAAAGGAATAGACTCGAGAAATTCATTTCTAAAATTTTATTTATAAGTTCTATATCAAGAAATATATAGAACTAGAAGGACGTTTTTAAGAGGAAAAAAGTATAAAAGAGGAGCAAAATACATAAACGCTTTGTGTTTAGTATGTTTGATACTTGTATTGCAGCAAAACTAGAATTTTCATTTCTAAAATAAATGATCAAGTTAAAATAGGGACAGCAACGAGTAGGGATCGGGTCAACACTCTCGTTCCTCATCTTGTCGAATATTTTTATCTCATTGTCCCTATCGCACCCAATTATGGCAGGACAGGGGCAGGGCAGATCCCCTACCCCTTTCACCATTAATTTTTTTTGCTTTTATTTTTTAAATATTTTTAGTTGGTGAAAATTATTACTTTTTTTTTTCTTTTCAAATTGTAAAAGAAGTCATGTTTTGCATAAAAATGATGATTTTTCTTCTCATTTTGTATGATAAAAAACTTGAATTTTGAAATGAGCTTTAAATGGGACGAGTATCAGGATAGGAACCAAGTTCCATATATCCGTCCCGCCTCCGTCTTGGGACAATGATCCTCACCCCATGTATCCGATTGATGGGGAATTCGCATCCCAAGCTCCACGAGTATTGGTATGACATTTTTTTTTTTTTTTTGTGTTATTCCTAGGTTAAAAATGAAAATTTAATAAAATTGAAGAAAATAAATGGAAGATGAATAAGTTACTTACCCAGCCACCAAAAACAAAAGTACAACCGTGGGCGGTTGCGCTACCCTACCTTACGTGCTTCAACCATCCAACCACCACCATCACCCCCACCCACTTACTTTTGACTAATGGATAAGATAAGAAAATTGGGTCTTCGTTAATTACAAATAATATATAACTTTCTTAAATTAATGGATCGGATCTTATATTATATTATATAATTAAAAATGTACTTATTATTACATGTTGATCAAAAGATCAATTATACTACCTTGAATATAATAATTTTTTTTTCTTTTTTTTCTTTTTTTTTTCTTTTTTTTAATCCCAATGATACAAGTTGACTAAACAATTTTTTTTATTATTCTTTACTTGCAAACCTCTCTAAATTTCCCTTTTGGTTGAGCAACTAGGATAAGTTTCTTGCACCATTATGCATAAATAATAGTAGTGCACTATACTATTTTTGCATCCTTAAGCAATCATCGCTTGCTTTGGGACACCATTTCATAAGAGAAATAGTTCAAAAAAAATATAATATGATGCGATTAAATAATAAAATAGTTTAAAGAAAAAGGTAGAAAAATTAAAATGAACTGTCGTCATTGTAAAATATAAGATTTTCTCAAATTTTATGTTTTCAACACAATGTGTAAGGATTCCGTGTGATCAATTTGCTAGACTAGTGAAAATTGAGGAAATTCTTAAAAATAATTACACACTATAAACATAACTTGAGCATCTTAATACACACACGTGAAAAGGGTATTTTTGAAATAAATGGAGAGTTGTTTTATTTCTACTATAACACTCTATTTTATATATAGCCCATGTTTGGTCCCCATTCTTTCTTAATTTTAATGGTTGGAATAGTGTTTTTTTGAAAAATGTATGGTTGAAAAAATTGAAATTTTTTTTTTATTTGTGTGTAATATTATTTTATGGAGGATTCTGAAATCGAAAATAAGAGAGAGAAAGAATGAGAATGGAGACCAAACAGGGGTGTATATACACACACTCACACACGTGAGAAGGGTATTTTTTAAGTTAATGGAGAGTTATTTTATTTCTACTATAACACTCTATTTTACCTTTGACCTGTTGTGCCTGCATTGCCATCCAAGAAACCGAAAGATGGTAGAAGTCGGTCGAAGTAGAGAAATTGTTAACTAGCATTGAAAAAGCTAAAAATATCAACGCGCCACTACAAAAGCTTGACATCACGCATCAATTAATAGCTAGTCACAAGTAAAAAACAGTGTGGATGTTCAAGATTTGTCATTTAAATATCGAATGAAAAGAGGCTATGGGTTTGCTTGAAAGCCAACTTATTCTTGTTTATTCTCTCTCTCTTCCACTTTCTCTCTCTAAAAAGAGTATATAGCCACATTATTATAAAAATGAGAATAAAAAATATGATCGTTATAACCTACACAAAAGATAAAAAGTCAAATATGATAACTTAACGTAATAAATAACGGTCGCATTTTTTATTTTAAAGAAAAAATAATGGGGCTCAAACAGGGCCATAGTATACTTTTTCTTTTAAGTTAAAAGAAGAGAGGGAGAGAGTAAATGTGGTGGAACATGGTTATAACGTGCAATGCTCTTTGCTTAAATGGTCGAGTTCATTCATGGCAAGATGTGTCAAAGATAGATTGTGAAAAGTGAAAACATACTTAAACATCATCAAAAGAAAAATAAAAATGTTTTTAACCTAAAATTTGTCAAAATATTGATATGATCATAAATGTTTAGTAGACTGAATCGCAAATATGATTATAAAGGAAATACTCGACAAAAATGAAAAAACCTACTGAAGAATGAGATCTGAGGAAATTGAAACAGCAATTTGACCATTATGAATTAGTATGAAGATTGAGTCCTAGATAGATAAGCACATCTAATTTCAACAACCGAAATAAACTAAAATCCCATGTCAATTAAGTATAAAACTACTACGTTGACTTTTTTAGATCGAACCTCTCGTTTTAATATTAACAACTTTTATTACACTTTTTTCTTTATTAATTACGTCTTTAATGCACTAAACATCCTAATGGGTTAGTTCATGGTAACTGTTCACAAGGTTTTCTTTTGACTCCAAATACTTACTTAAGGTTCATTATATATGTATATATATATAGCAACACTCACAATCCTATCACAGTCTCTCTCATCACTCTTCTTCACTTTCTTACACTATTACTCTTCTTTCTCTCACTCTAGTTATTTCTAAGCCCTTTTAAGTGTTGGCAGTTTTTGTGTTCAATATGGAAATCTTGGAAGAGTTTTTGGGGTCCAATGATCATTCGATTGTTAAGGGGAAACGTACCAAGCGGCAAAGGCCGTCGTCCTCCACCTTGTCATCAAGCGGAGCCACCGTCCCCACCTCGGGAGAAGGAGGAGGAGGAGGAGGTTACTATTCATTGGTTACATCTCCCACAACCTCAACTTCTACAAATATTGAGGAAGACGAAGATATGGCCAATTGTCTAATTCTTTTGGCACAAAGTGTTGTTTCACTACCAAAAAACTCGACAAAGACGAAAGATAGAATATATAGTTATGAATGCAAAACTTGCAATAGAAGTTTTCCATCATTTCAAGCGTTAGGAGGCCATAAAGCAAGTCACAAGAAGCCCAAACAATTGGAAACTGATCGAAAAGAAACTCCAGTAGATGCCCCATCCGGCGATCACGAAGAAGAAGAAGGATGGCAATCCCACAAAAGTTTCCATGGTTATACTCACGATAAGCCAAAAATTCATGAGTGTTCAATATGTGGTTCAGAGTTTTCATCAGGACAAGCATTGGGAGGACACATGAGAAGACATAGGAACCCTAATAGTACAAGAGTTAATCAATCATCATCCCGTGATTCTGAGAAGACTAGAAATATTCTTGCATTGGATCTCAACCTACCGGCTCCTGCAGAAGACGATCACGGACCAGGGTCGGAGTCAGGGTCGGGGCCGGAGACAAAGTTTCGATTTTCTTCCAACCATCAAGGTCTAGTCTTCTCCGCTGTGGCCTTGGTGGATTGCCACTACTAGAAGAAAGAGAATGGGTTGATAATTATTGGTCAATGTGAAAAATTCACTTACAATTCTTTTTCTTCTTATTAGCAAGTGTTATTATTTCATTAATTAACCTCTGAACACTTTATATTTGTTTCTTACGTTATGTTCAAATTCAATTCTTTGAGTGAGTAAGTGGTTAGTGTTCATGGTCGCCTTTCATTCAAGAAAAGTGAGTGAGGCATCTTTTTCATTTTCCTATCCACCCTACCCTAACCTGCCGCCACTCCCACCCCCTGGTGGGGTGGCTTGGGTTGGGAGTGGCATTGCTATTTGGTGAGGTTAGGCATAACAAGCATCACAACTTAAGACTTAAGTCATGGATTAGGTTGTAGGAGCTTGATCTGTTTTTAATGATAAATAAAGCACCACATCTAATTAAATTTCATGGATTAGGTTGTTGGATCTTGATCTGTTTTTAATGATAATAAAGCTAAATAAAGACTTCCTAATTCCTTTAATCTCTGGTTCATTAGTTGACAAATATTAATGAATATAAAGATGGTTTTTGTAACGGACAAGTGTGTTAGTTGTTCAATTCAATAACGTGTACTGTACTAAATATGTCATTTATACTTTCATAGGTATTAAATTTAGGTCTCGTTTGGGATGGATTTTGAGAATTGATTTTTTAATCGTTAGAAGAAAAGTGGAGTTCACTTGTGAAAGAAGAAGTCAAAAATTACTGCTGAAATAGTGAAATAAAAGTCAAAAAATCAATTTTTTTGAAGTAAAAAACCCTCCCAAACAGGCTGTTAACATAGATATTTTCATTCTAGAATCCATTAGGGTTCCACTAGTTTATCATGGAATTAAATTTCATTATGCTAATAAAAAAATATCAGGTATTGGAATAGAATTGATTCTTACTTTCACCAAACACACACATACGCACCGGGGGGGGGGGGGGGGGGGGGGGGCAACA